TGGACCAGCTGAGAAATCAGCTGGATGCGATTTTTTGCACCTGGAACTCGTGGACGCAGCTACCGACGTCAGCCAAGAAAATCGTGGATGTCTGAAGCAAGGGACAGGGAGAAATGGAAACTTCTGAGCTGGGGCCCGCACGTCACGTGAAGCCGGGCCATCTAAGTATCTAAGTAAGTATCTCAGTCCCGAAATGTAGAATTTTCTGATTTTCTACGTGCTGAACAGCTGGATGTTTTTGCAAAAACTGCTAATAAATGTCCTAGTCCTACGCTTACAGAATTGAGCAAAGCTTCTGTGATTGACTTCTTCAGAAGAAAATCATGGGTCATAAAATGACCGCAATAGCTACCCATGTTTAGGCGCCGGATAACTTCAAAAAAAAAACAGTTCATGCAAAATGTAGACAATTTTCATCACATACCAATTTTAAATTTCCGAAGAAAGCTTGATACGCTCTTAAGTTTTGGCCAGAAGGAATGCAATGAAATTCTGAATTTTGATGCAGTTTTTTGAGGCTCATTAACTTTATAACAGATGAGGATGAAAGCGCGATTCAAACACCATGCGACAGAGCATGAAAACTACTTCTTGATGGTACACTACATCTATCGTAAAGAAGTAGTGTTGCTGGAAAAAGTTGCCCCTGAAAAAGACTTGGAAAATCGACCATTATTTTTGCACCAAACCAAATATAAGCACCATACTAAATAAATTGTACATGCATAATGCAAATTTGCACATATAGATTCTTGCTCAACACTGAATTTAAACATGCAGCCAGGTCACTTTAGGTAGTTCGTATTTCGAGCTATAAGCCCAAGAATTTAATTCTGCACGTTGTACTTACGGTTTTCTTACAATATAACTGCTTATAATTTTGTCCACAAACGCATTTAGCAGATGGGGAAACCAGAACTGAATTTAGCGTTTCATGCTGCTTTTAAAGTATGCAAGTCCTTCGCATTAACCACTTAACCGTCCACCATTAACCATCAGAGCGAAGGAGAGAGAGATACAATGAAAGGGGATAGAAGAAGAGTGAGAAAATGAAGTAAGACACCCAAAATCACTATTCATGTATGTTGCATTCCAAAAACCATTCTTGCACACAAGAATTAATTGAAAACAGCTTATTTGGCGAGATTTTCTGGTAGCCGTGAGGCGATACGATTACTGCAGTCACAGCAGCCCCGCTGTAAGTGCAGGGGAGGGGATCGCTCCCCTTCCCTCTTGCATAGAGGGGTTCAATGAAGGGGATCGTTCATCTGGGGATCCAGCTCCCCTCCCCAGCGGGGATGTACGTGCATACGGGCCTTACTCTGAGCATGTCCTTGTCAGAATCTGCATAGCAGTGCCCTGTTGGAGGTTAAAGAATGGTATTTAGAAAATTATAGGATTGACGCTGTTGTGGTGTTATCGGAGCCATTATGATTAAATCAAGTATGAGAGGAAAGCAAAAACAAGGTTACCCCTTGCCTTGGAGACGGCTCTTCTGAACCGCTACCATTAGCAGCCTAATTACTGCGCGCCTCTGATTGGTCGGCGCTGCCGCGGCGCCCGGGTAGGCGAGAGCTATGCTGTCGTTAGAGACATCTGAAGTGGACTGCAAAGGCGTTCTCATGATGAAAAGAATTAGAAAAGATTCCGAGTTTCCCATGAAACTAAAAAATGTTATACTTGGGCGGCTTAGGTGAATTCTTTAGCTTGCACGTGTAGACTTCATGGTGTTTTGAAATGTGGGAATGGCAAGAAATCACGAAAGCCCAGTAAAAAAAACGCAACTTTTCAAACTTTCTTCTTCATAATTCAAACATCTTCACTAGCCTTATTCATGTGCCTCGCTTGCCTTGAAATGCTCAGAAATGTTTCAGAACTCATAGATTATAAGAAAGGCGAAGTAATTAGCGCAGCCCGGGCAGAGTAATTAGCGCTAGGACGAAGCGGTTCAGAAGGGCACACACCCCCTTGCCTTTCCTTAAAGGCAGTGCGTCGGCAGAATGAGACCCGTGGCAAAAGAAGGTCACAGGCTAGGAGCCCCCATAATGGAACCTATAGGCCAAAGTTCGGTCTTTCTCTGCCACTTTTAACCCCGAAATTTCAAAGCGAAAGCAGCTCATCTCCCTCCTGTCCTCTCCGAACGCGCCCACGCCATGGACGAGTGACTTCCAAGGTCAGAGCGCCAGCCGCAATGCTTTAAGCATGAGGTCCCGCAACGACTCTGCGTCTTCGCCATGACGGGCTCCGCGTTCACTCGTCCATGCGGTGGGCGATTTCGGAGAGGACAGAGATGCGCGCTGCTTTCGCTTCAAAATTTCGGGGGTTAGAAGTGGCAGAGAAAGATCGAACTTTGGCCCATAGGTTCCATTGTGTGGGCTCCTACCCTGTGACTTTGTTTTGCCACGGGTCTCATTCTGCCGATGCACTGCTCCTTTAAAAACTCTCAAGCAGGTTACCATCATCTCATGACTTTCCCTCGTTGTACTGGAGCTTTACTAAATTCACACAGTAACTTGCTGAGATGAAAAAGTCATCTCAGCATGAATTTTGAATGAAATCAAAGTATTAAATATGGAACTGTTAGTCCATGAAAAAACTACGCCGTTGTCACAATGTGTGGCAAAAATTTCAGCAACAGCAAACAAGTAGCTGTATTTGACACTTAAATGATAAACCAGCATTGGAACAAGTTCTGCACAATTTTGCTCGAGCAGCGAATGAGACAAGTTTGGAAATATCACAGCTTGCAACAAACTTTTAACCTATCTGCCTTTGAAGTCGTCATTATGAAATTATTAGGATGGAAGTTAATGTCCATTTTGAATTTCAACCGCAATAAGTCATACAATTTTCATTCCTGAATAGCTTTCAAGGTACCGTTTGATAGAACAAAGCAAGCTCTACAAGCTGGCCATTTTGCTTTAACAGCAGCTCTGATCCACTTCGAGTTTCGAGCCAAAAACTAAAAAGATTCAACTACCGGAAAAAACGAGAAAAATCATAACTCAGTTCATAAAAATCCTGCAAAAATTCTAACTTGCTCACGTGAACACTATCCACATAAGACATATATGTACGCTACTGGTGTATTTTTTCCTCTGTCAAAAGTCGAAAAAACGAAAATGTTCATGCTTCTGCCAAAGTGGTCCTGTGTCGTCCCCAAATCTTTAGAAGTACAAACATGGACTTTCAGCTCTCTACAAGCTTAGTTCTCGAGAAATATCGAATATACCTTTCATTTGTCAGGTGGTTCAAAGTAAAATTCAAATTTCTCGAGAACTAAAGCTTGTAAAAAGCTAAAAATCCACGTTTTTACTTCTCCATATTTGTATTAGGTTGTCATTTTTGAAAATTTGTAACTTTGCGCTGTTTTAACGGATTTGCTTGCCTGTAATTTTATCAGAAAGAATAAGTCTTTCTCTTTCAAACTTTGACCATTTTAAGTTAGGTCACCAAAAATTTGGAATGCTGCAAAAAAATCTGAAATCGTCAGTACATATGTTTTTTGACCTACTTTTTGCATTTCTGAAAAAATTGTGCTGCTTGGACGTTTCTGTGAGGTGTTATGATTTTCGCGAAAACTGACAATTTAATTATTATAATTTTGACCTTTTCCATAGTAAACTCGATATTCATGACTTCTCACAAAGACGTCCAAACAGCACAATTTTTTCAGAAATGCAAAAAGTAGGTCAAAAAACATATGTACTGACGATTTCAGATTTTTCTGCAGCATTCCAAATTTTTGGTGACCTAACTTAAAATGGTCAAAGTTTACATGGTCTTAGTTTTCCATTTTTATCTCCGCACACAATGTGAAACAGAAGCTCCGCAAAAGAGCATTTGAAAGAGAAAGACTTATTCTTTCTGATAAAATTACAGGCAAGCAAATCCGTTAAAACAGCGCAAAGTTACAAATTTTCAAAAATGAAACGACAGAACTTTCGGTACAACCTAATAGTATACATCTACTTGTTTGGGGACGACACAGCATCACTTTTGCAAAAGTATGAAAATTTTCGTTTTTTTCGATTTTTAACAGAGAAAAAAATACGGCAATAGCGTACATATATGTCTTATGTGGATATTGTTTACGTGAGTTAGTTAGAACTTTCGTAGAATTCTTACGAACTGAATTATGATTTTTCTTGATTTTTCGGGCAGTTGAATCTTTTTAGTTTTTGGCTCGAAACTCGAGGTGGATCAGAGCTGTTGTTGAAGCAAGATAGCCGTCTTGTAGAGCTTGCTTTGCTCTATCGAACGGTACCTTGAAAGCTATTCAGGAATGAAAAGTGTAGACTTGTTGCGGTTGAAATTCAAAACGGACATTAATTTCCGGACAACCTAATACAATGAGGAATTATAATAATTTGAAACATCTGAGGACCTGATAGCAGGGAAGGTTCATTCAGTTATGATAAATTCAGTTCGCTTAGAAAAATTAATTTACGAGACAAACCAGCGGAACGTAAATTTTCCCTCAAGTACCGCTGCGAAGCAGAGGTGATGCAGTGATGTCCAGATATGTAATAAAAATGTAAATGTTTCATGATTTCTTTAACAAAATGTTTCTTGATTTCCTCCATTCAATATAAAACTTTTATCGCCGTTTTTATATGAAACTGTTTGCGCCATGCGTGCTCTAGCCTTGCAGTTCGAAATCGCTGTGCGGGCGGTGCCCGAGCTTACTGTAAGATCCGGGCCATTCCGAAGAAAATTTTAGGCTTGGTAGACCCCGTTTTTCGCTCCGAGCTTCAATCATCGCTTCGGTAAGGGGTCTACTTCAACAACGCCACAAAAACACCCATCTTTTTGCCGGGACGCTGCCTTCAAGGCTGATTGGTCAGGTGAGAAGGAAAACGATAAATGCTGCTGTCCAAGTAAATTTCTTGAAATCTGTACTTGGGCTGTGGTTGAGTAAGAAGTCAAATTATGAATTTGCTAAAACTCTGTTTTCATAACAACTAAGTTTATCACTATCTATCGATGATGACTGTGCGGATCTGTGTAGAACACTGCTGACCATCTTTTACGCGTTTCCAATGAGCATTAGTATTACAAGGTTAACAGAGGATTATGAGCCAAAAATAGGAATAAACAATCATTTTTGATTTGATCGCTCATTCACAAATCCTTTATGGTGCCATATGTACCATACCCCGGGCGGTATGGGCCTACTGGGATTGCAACTGAATAACAGACGACGTGACGCAGTACTTTGTTGTCAAATTCTGCAATGCCATAATAACGCCAATGACCACTGACGCACTGGATATCTGCGAGTTGACGAAAGTCACGCATTCTTACTGAAAACGCACTGATCGTTATCAAAACAAAACTTTGAACATAAATAAAACATATGTGGAAGCTCAAAAAAGCAGCTTTTGAAAGGATAGCAACGCACGTGGTACGAACATTCTCGAAAATTATATTGAGCCAAGTGTAACTTCTTGTTAAAAAAGTATCTTGAACAGAAAATGAAAAGAAAGTCGAGTAAGCTTGCAGAATCTTGGTAGCTTTGCTTCTTTTCCGCTTTCAAAGTTTTTTTTCTCACAAATTCGAAAAGGGTTAAACCAGATTTTTTTTAAAGACCAATTGATCGTTTTGGCTTAGGGCGGAATGAAATAGTGTTTCGCTGGCTTACGGCATGAAACTGCAAAAATAGTTTAGTACAGATTTTCAACTGCATGAAATAAAGGAAAGATATGCCTATGTTATATCAACTACTAGTTGACAAACCCGGCTCCGCCCGGCTTTGTCAATAACATATTTTTAATCAGCATGCTCGATTACCCCTGTGCCAATTCCCAGCCCCGCAGCTCAAATTTTGCAAAAAATCGATAAAATCGATATCGATCGATAACGAAAAGTAGCCTATGACACGCTTCCCGCCCCGAAGTATATGTGTGCCAAGTTTGGTCCAAATCAGTTCAAAAATAAAAATTCTATTCCGCACATACGTACATACATACAGACAGACCTTCAGCTTTATGTATAAGATAAAAGTGTCGAAACTTTTTAGTATATGTTACATAGGGCATTTTTCGTCTATTCCATGCAGTCAAGCATCTTGAACATTTGTACCAAAATATTCCTGCAATTAAATGCCTTGTCAGCAAGATATAAAATTGAGAGTGTGAATGACGAGAAAAGATTACTCAAGTTCTTTTTTTTCAATCAAATTGATGATAATTTGAACCTTTCTGAAACAAACCAAAAAAATCATCTCGTAACTTTTACCCTCACTTTTGACTGTGCAAAATTCGTGTTGACTGAGCTTCTTTGAAGCTGAGATCTTATATATAAAGCTGAATGTCTGTTTGTCTGTATGTCTGTCTGTATGTCTGTCCGTATGTCTGTCTGTCTGTATGTGTGTACCTATGTTCCAAATAGAAAATTCCATTTCTGAACCAATCGGGACCAAACTTAGCACACATACACTTCGGGCCCCGGCGGGTGTCACAGGCTACTTTTCGTCATCGATCGATTCCAGCCAAATTCGCCCCCTAGCTCAAATTTTGCAAAAAAAAAACGGTGAAAGATTCCAGCCAAATTTCAGCCCCCTAGCTCAAATTTTGCAAAAAATCGATAAAATCGACATCGATCGATAACGAAAGTGGACTGTGACCCCGCCGGGGCCCGAAGTGTATGTGTGCCAAGTTTGGTCCGGATCGGTTGAGAAATGGAATTTTCTATTCGGAACATACGGCGGAGCCGGGTAAGCCAGCTAATTTTTGAATAAAAAGCAAAACCGCAAGTTTCTGATTTTTTGAGAATTATCAAAGTCTTCAATACTCAAAATAATTCAAAGAGAAGCGGTTTTTTGCGCTTTTATTTCAGAAACCTATGATATGAAGTCAGATCCGCTCATTACAATTAGTTGCCTTCTCTTATGTTCGAATAGCAAAACATTAGCCCTGGAAATGCGATAACAAGAAACAATGTCCTGTAAAGCTTCTGATTGATTAAATATCAAAATCAACAGATACAACTGCACAACGGCGCATTCATAATGTGCGTTCAATATGAGGTTCTGTAGGCTATCATTTAAGGCTTTTTTTACTGCTGAATTAAAACAACTTTACCTTTGACTTCATCATTTGTCTCAATGTTAAATATATACAAAATTGCCCAGCAAAGCTTGATTCACCTTCGTGATACTTTGTAAAAGGGACATATTGTTGATGCTGTGTTTTTTTATCGCTGATGTTGGCAGTTAGTGGGCATGCTTTATACGCACTCTACTTCACATCGAGGAGGCTTGAACGCGGGCGAACCATGCTTGCATGGGCCAGCCGATTGAAAAGTCAGTGCTTTAGTCTTCCCAAATTACTCTGTTCCCAATTCAACGGCCCCTTAGTATAAAGGGTTCGGTTGGCTTACAGGTGAGATTGAAGCTTAGTCCAATCCAATCATAGCGGCGCCTCATGCCACCAGTAGGCCTTTCAGGTGCCGGCATAAAATCACCCTTCACAAAATGCATTCAAACTTTTAGCGAGCATATTAAAGCGTGCCAGATAAACGCCGATTACGTGCCCTGGGCAAAATCACTAACGTCTTACCAACTGACTCTTACTGTCCTCACATTTTAAATCGCTATTATAGTCTGCTATGTCATGCTGTGTCCCGTGCAACTCACCGTTATTAACGAAGGTTCCATCAGAGAATTGAAATCGTAGGTAGTCCGTTTGTTCGCAGTTTATGGTAACTGAACACAGTAGCGGAGGACCGTATGTAACTGCCTTAAAAGTAGAGTATATTGTCATGATAACGGCGGATAATTTAGATTGATCAAACACAATGAAAGGAGAGCCAAATACAAGTACCTTGAGAATCTTGTGTTTCAACGTAATTTAAATATAGTAAGTCTACCTGGCCCAAAAATTTTCGGAGAATTTTTTTGAAGTAGCAAAAAATAGCATTCGTGAGTATTGAAAGTCTGTACGAAAAGCACTATAACTTATTTTTGGGACTATTTGGACTTTTTTCTTTCTTATTTCTTTCCACTTCTGTAGTAGAAAGACTGTTATAAGGGTGATCTGGAAGCCGGGGTAGACGTTTTCTGCGGTAACGATGAAATTGTTTTTATTTGCTGTGGAAAAAGCGCAAGCTTAAACGAAATACTTCAAAATAAAACTATGGTCGAATAACCTGCAACGAACGCTTCTAAAAAAATTGTGAAGCCTTTTTCATTCTAAAAAAGGTGCTTTTCAAAAACCTTGACAAGTTTTGCTAAATAGTACAATCGTTGAGGATAAGTTCAAAAATTAGGTATGTTTCAGCTATTTTTCTAGAGAATCACATTCTATACATGAAGCTCAACAAATTTTTATATGCACATGTGATTGGTCTGTCTGCCTGCATATAAATTCTAAGTAAACAGCTTCGCTTTCAAACAGCTCCTTCGCGGTGAGACGGCAATCATTGATTACCTCTTGCTATCGATTGATATTGGCACATGGGGTGCTGAAAGTCAGCACAACTCAAAAGATCAAGCTGATACGAAAAAAACATTCGTGCTTGAAACCATCCATCGACTCCAACAATTTCTTGATTTCTTGCAACCTTTGAACTCGTGCTGGGTTCAGACTTAAAAAGAAAGATGGGGTGCGCATTCCCATCTAAGGAGTTTCACAATGCGTACTTTGCTACTGGCAAAGATAATGAACTATATTGCAGAGGTAGATGAAGATATAAAAATGTATGAAACATATTATTTGATGGAGCAAAGCAACCTTTATAAGATGGCATTCCAACACTAGCAAAAAGTTCAATCCACGAAAAGTTTGAAGGCTACCCATACAAAAGGTCGCAAACCTCCAGTTTCGTCACGCATATACTGTCCACATCGGGTATCATTTATACATTTGCCCTATTTTTTTGCAACTTGAAATCAAAATTGACTTAGAAAATTTGAGAGCGTTTTTTTAATTGTTTTACTCTGATTCTGTATTTTTTGACTACCGTTTGTAGATGGCCAAAAAATCACTTTATATAATATATTCAAAAGATTGTAGTATAGAATACTTACGTCGAAATAGTTCACCATTAGATTTGTGCATGCAAATTTTTATACTTCCAATTTCCTGCGTGGATGCAGGGTATCTCAAAAGTAGTATATACTGTTTGATCGTTAATATCTCTTTTTCCAAGGAGTTTTTTGCCCATCTTCAGGTATCATTTTGTAAAACTGGCTTCAACTTAGATGTGATATACGAGCAAGTCACCTATCGCTCTTCATCGTTGTGAGATTACGGTAGGATCTGCTTACAGTGTCATTGCGAATTGATGGTGTTTTAGTAAAAGGTTCTAAAAGATCTGAGAAGTGGTGTACTAGCGTTTTCACTTTTGCTGTTTTAATTATTCAACTTTTTACGAGTTTGCGAAGCTTTTCAAATAGCGTAATTACAACTTCATGGACTATTGTAAGAACAGCTAATGCGGTTTACCCGGTTTTATGAAGGAACCATTGCGGTAAAATGCAAAATATCATGTTTGTTTTTTAGCTTGAACTGACTTAATATGAAAGTTTTCTGTTTGATTGTTTGTTTTGATTTCTGAAGCGGAAGAGGGTCCCTAATGGCTTAGAACTCTTCTTGAAGTTTCTAGTAATCCTGAAGAGCGATCGGTGACTCGCTCCATGCTGTAAATCTTAGTCGAAGCTAGCTATACAAAGTGGGCCTGGAGGTAGGCGAAAGACTCCTTGGGAAAAGATATATACATCAAGTGAAATGAATAGCTAATGCGACATGTGACTTTTTCAGGCAATTTGGACTTTTCTTAGATTTCTGTGGGCAAAAATACGAATTTGAGTTTTCGTAAATAGACTCTTCTTCAAAACTTCACAGGTATCGAATTCCTTGCGCTCATTGAAAGCCATGTAGAGCTCTTTGCTGCATCGATATATTTTTTGTATGTTTTTTTCATTCTCTTTCGTGGCAAAGAACACACATTTCTTTAACACCAGACGAATATATTAGGTCGTTCCGAAAGTAATGTCGCTTTTTCCAAATGAACGCCACATTCCATAGAATCAAGATTTTCAAGAGATCCTGAAAGCGTTCGATGCAGCATTTCATCCTCTTTCTAATGGTTGCAGTATCATTGCATAATATTCGATGAGCTCTTAGGAAATTACCGAAATCTGCGGCTCATGCTTTTTGCCATAGTCAAGTTCGGCTATTTTTCTGAATTTTTATACCTACGAGGAAGTACAAGCAACTCCGAGGAAGTACAAGCAACGGGTGGATAGAGCAAATTTTATAGGGCACAGAGCAATTTTCTTCTTTTCCTTACCCGCTCAATCAATATTTCAATGCTATCAAATTCCATATTTGGTCAATTTAACCCTCACAGAGCAGCGACCGGCAAACAGCTCGGATGTCATTCGACGCAGCTTTTTCTCCTCTTTCTAACAGTCGTTTTTTTGTTTCCGATTCATCAAGTTTTCCGGGAAAAAATCATCATAATTCAGTTTTTCCAGGGCGCCCCAGACTGTACCCGTAATTTTTGAAAGTTGCTAATCTGAAGCGATGGATGCTCATTTGGTTTGTAAAATTAGTGTCAAACCATAACCCATCTTTGTAAGTTTCAAAATCCGAAGATTTATTCGTGTTTGATGCACTTGTGTCTGAGACGAGCCTGCAAAAATTCGGGGGTCCCATCAAAAAAAATCTATGCAAAAATTATGACGAGTTCTGCGAAGAAGAAAAAAGTTGTGCTGTGTCCTGTAGGGTGTTCTATTCATCCCTTATTTTGGCTCCTTCCGAGGGTTGTTATAAAAATTTTAAAAATTGTAAGACTTGGCCTTCTCAGAAAGCGTGGGGCGCAGATTTTGATAATTTTTCGAGAGATTATTATATTTTGTGCAGTGATTATATAACCATTAGAAAGAAAACGAAATGCTGCATTAAACGCTGTTAGAATCTCTTACACAATTTTGTCCCACGAGATGTGGCGTACGTCTGAAAAAAGCGAAATTAATTTCGAAATGACCTAATACTATTTCTATTCTGTGCTTCGTTTTCATTACTGTCCTTGTTTTTTCTTTGCGCGCACCATTTGCGCGCTATAATGTGTTCTCAAAGATAAATTTCGTTGTGTTTCCCAACGATAAGCTCAATCAATACATCCAAAGGTGAGTGGTGACATAATAGTGTCAAAGCGGGTTTTCTAGTAGAAAATGCTCTACTTCAAGACTTGATTGGATAGACAGATGTCACTGTTTTAATACCTGGCATACTCTTCCTGTATGCAGAGTCTGAGCCATATTTGGCATGTACAGTCAGAGCCCCCCCCCCAAGGGCCGAGAGAGAGCATGCCCACTACAAATGTGACATCTATTCAAGAAATTAATCACCGCAATCGGTCTTAAGCTGGACTCCATCTCGGTCTTTGCAGACTTTGAGATGGAGTCTAGCTTTGAAGTGTAAGGGCACTAAAATAGCAGCACGAAATAACAGTAGGAAGTTGATTTTATCGTTTTTTCGAAGTTAATCGAGCGATATCGGATGTCTCAGCAGTACCTTTTACATGACCAACTGATTGGAATGAGGTAAGGGAAAAATTCAATGCTGCACGGGCGGAGAAGTGTGTTCCCAAAGAGACTGAAGGCATGGCAACTATGTCATTGAAGCTAGGGATGAAAGAACAGGTGCAAATTTTTTTCTGCAACATAGTACTCATCGTATCGTAAGCGGCAGTCCATTTCCTATCAAGCAGTAATTGTATTCAGCAACTTTGCTGAGCTCTTGTAGGGTAAGATTGAAATACTGTGCACATCGAAACAAAAGCTACTAAGCAACTTAGGAGACACATTCAAGCAGAGTGGCTTCACACAATGCGTATATCATAACACTACGTGTAGCAAACGAGTGTAATCATTGCAGTTAGGGTATTGGACAATAACCGCTCTGGTTATTCAGGACAGATCCGAGCAAAGTGTCCAAAGTGTTGTAAGCAAGGCATCAGATATATCTCCTCTCTCCCCCCCCCCCCTTCCCTCCCCTAACACCCTCCCCACCCATATAGTAAATGGAGATACAGTTGTGACAGTAAAATGTGAAACTTCTCGGCGAATTCGCCAAAGTCGGCGAAAAAGCAAAGTCGCCGACGTCGGCACATCGCCGAAAATTTTCACATTCCAAAGCCATAACTGTATATGTATGAAAGTGCGCCCCATTGCACACTTACCGTATTTTGAGAACATATCAGCATTACAGCAAATAAAAATGATTTCGCATAGAGAATATTCGAAATGCTTCTTACAACGATGACGTCATTGTTGTAAGAAGCATGTCGAATAAATCCTTTCTGTGAAAAAATAAAACGAGTAAATTTCTATGTAACAAAGCGGTCACTTAGATTGTTTATCAAGACAGTATTTGGACCTATCCGTCAAGCATTGGATTTGCAGAGAGCGGGAAAATTTGTGAAGTTATTGCTTGTTATCTCTGGCCCCCTTAAGATGAGAAAATTGACATGATCACAAATGCACTAGAGAAGTAGCTAAAATTAGAACTGGATTTGACTAGTGTAACATACCGCATTTTTCTCGCGTAAAGATATAATTTGAAATACAATTTTTAAAAAGAAGCTTAGACATGTTATATTTCGTTTCCTCAACAAATCACAGTAAAAGATCAGTTACGCGTCTCAAAGCGTTGCTACAAATACACTGGGATACATAGGACCACTTGACAATATGATCCTATGGCGCCTAATTCATAATACTCATAAGTGT